GACATGGAATAAGTGAGATAAATGGAAAACAAATGTTAAGTTACGAGATATAAACCCAAATGTGTCAGTAATTATTACATTAAATGCCAATGGACTGAAAAACACCAACTTTACTCCACTGGATGAAAAACAAAACACAGATATGTGCTGCTTATAAAAATATACCTTAGATCTAGGACATCAAAAGATTAAAGGCAAAGAATGCAAAAAGATACACAGTACAAACACTAACCAAAAGAAATTCAACACAGCCATACTGATGCCAAACAAAGTAGTTAAGGGAAGAAACATTACTAGAGAAAAAAAGACTCTGCTCAATGACAGAAGGACAAATCTCCCAGAAAGACGGCACGGTTGTAACCTTCTATGCCTCTAGCAACACAAAATATGTAAAGCAAAACTTGACAGCACTGTACAGAGTAGACAAATACACAATCCTAACTGCAGACGTCTACACACAATTTCACGGGGTTAATGACAACTAAGCCTGGTAGTAATTAAGAGATAACAGATGTTTATAGATTAAAAAGTCCATAAGGTCCATAGGAGTATAGAAGATCTGTATACAGCTTGTAGTGGATTGACAACTGGTGGTCAATTTATAATCCCCAGCTGAATTGAGTAAGCGTGGTGCTGGGTGTGGGAGGTCCACCTAGGGACTGTTGCCAGCAGCAGAAGAGGCAGAACTGGAGAAGAAGAAAGGCTGTTGGAAACTGAGAAAGGCTACTGGGAGCTGGTAGAAGCTGTAAGGAGCTATTGTATCTTTTGGAGGAGTTTGTCACACTGGCTTTCCCGATGAACTTGGTTGTTTCCATCCTCCGCAGAGCTCGGGACAATTTGTCACTGGGAATGGCTTTGGTTCACTTTGGGGAGCTCTGGTCCTCACTTTGAGCATTGCTTCCTGGCTCTGGAGGGGAAGGTGGTACACTGCCATTCTCCTGGAAAAGCTTGCTGCATTGGCTTTTCTAATGAGAACTCAGCTGTCTTCACCATGGGAGGAGCTCAGGACCTCACTGTTGCTGAGGATGGCTGTGGTACTTCTCAGAGGAGTTCTGATTCTTACTTTGTATTTTGCTTCCTGGCTCCAGTTGAAATCCCTCAGCCTGCTAGCACAGATCCTTCATCCTGCTGGCATAGACTTCCTAGATTACACCACTGACCTTTGGGCCTTCCCAGCACAGATCCGTGAAATAGGCCTGCACAAGATATTATTATGGGCACTAGGCCTCCAGGTGGACTCGTGGGAGGCATTGTTATGGGCTCTAGGTCTTCAGCTGGCTCATGCAGGACATTTCTGTGGGAACCAGGCCCTCGGATAGATTCCTTGATCTTAGCGTGTGGACAGATTTCCTGCACTCTTTTGTATATCATTCTTTGGGTGACTATTATAAATAATCTTATAAAATATGTGTCCTGTATTATATTGTTTCCCCTTGCAAATAACCCCAAACCATAACACAGCCACTACCTAACTGATACACATAGAACAATGTACTCAACAAAAAAAGAATATATATTTTTCGGAGAACATGGAAAATTTACTAACATTGGCCTTATGCTTAGCCATAAAGGAAACTCTCAAAAGATTTCAAAGGACCAAAAGTTTCTGACCATGGTAGAATTAAACTAGAATTCAATAATAAAAAATATTAGTAGAACAATAAAAAATTCATGAATACTTATAAATTAAGCAATTTAGTCAATGAACAACAGTGCTTATTAACAAGAATAATGATCAGACGTGGTCTATGCCTTCAAGAGGTAAAAATGCATCTGGTAGGGGAGAAAAGATACACATGTAAATAACTGTTATGCAAAGCAGAATGTGGCCACTGTATTAATTATACGAGATGCTGTGGAGATGCTGTGGAGGAGCTCAACAGTGGGAACAGTCACTGTCCTGAACTATGAGGATGGGTACTGGGGGAAGTTCTCCTTGGAGTTGAATTTTTTAGGTTAGATGTTGAAGAATGAGAAGAACCTGATTGTGCAAAAGTTGGAGAAAGAGGCAGTTGATACAAAAAGAGCAAGGTAACAAGCTGGGTGTGGTGGCACACACCTGTAGTCTCAGCACTTGGAAGGCTGAGGCAGAACTGCTGTGAATTCAAGGCCAGCCTGGGGCTGCCTAGTGGGTTCAAAGCCAGCCTGAACTACACAGCAAGACTTCATCTCAAGACCAAAAAAAGAGAGAAGGGAAGGAAGGAAGGAAGGAAGGAAGGAAGGAAGGAAGGAAGGAAGAAAAAGAAAGAAAGAAAGAAAGAAAGAAAGAAAGAAAGAAAGAAAGAAAGAAAGAAAGAAAGAAGAAAGAAATATAACAAAGTATAACAGCTGAGAGCAAGGGCAAGGTTAGCCAAGGAATAATATGCAGTTGAATATGACTGGAACAAAGGTGGATTGCCAGGATTGCTGAAGAGTGAGGTGGGAAAGGAAGAAGAGGAAAATGCTAAGGGGCCCCTGGGGAGAGTCAGGGGAGGATTTTGAACCACAGTATACACTGGGCAGGTAATCAGGCAGGAGTATGTGAAATGGACCAAAGCTGGGAAACTGGCAAGGAGATAGGGAGAGCAAAGCCCAAACCTCAGCAGGGACAAGGAGGGGGAGCTCAGCCGGAGAAAACCCAAACCTCCCTCTCCCTCCCAACAGAGCCACCCACACCCCTCACTTAACAGCAGCCTAACAATGCATTAAAATCACTACCTAATTGCTCCTTTCAAAGTTAATGCTCCAAAATGGGGAAGTGTGTGTTTAATGTTTAGTCTCATCTCTGCCACCCGAGCCCCAATTTAAAAGCCAAATCTGCTTTAAAATAAAATGAGCTAAACTCCCCTAGACACAGCTCAGACCCTCTGAATCCCACCCACGTTTTCCTTTCTCAAATACACCCTTCTTTGCATATTCCTGTGTGTCTGACAGTTCGGGCAGGTGACCCGAGCCCTCTCTGGGAGGCTCCCAAAACAGCTCCTTCCCAGGAGCTTCCTTCTGGCCCGTTCTCCAGCCTCAGGGCAAAGCTCAGAAGTCCCGAGCCAGGCTGACCAGAAGGGTCTAGAAGCACCATTGCGTTCCTGCCCCTTCACACCCCCCCACAAGCCTTTCCCTGTGTTTGTGCACTCTGGGTTGGAGCACGGTCACCAGAGGGCCACGGGGGCCACATTCACAGGACCTTCTTCCTCTCGCCTCCTGTCAACTGTAGCAGACGGTGGATGTGGCTTCCCCTCAGCATCTAAGCTTCCTCCCCAGGTGAATCCTCAAGAGCATTATACACTTCAGGTGTCGGCCTCCTGACTAATTTCTCCATAGCTGCACTGACCCAGAAGCACAGTGGAGCACCGGTGTTCAAGTAAATGCACACTGCTCTTTCCAGACTCCCAAACCCCTCTGCCTCCTCCCCAGCCAACTCCCTTCTAACTCTCCTGCCTCTAACTACTGCGTAGGACACACACACACACACACACACACACACAGAACTCCATTTCCTTAACGCCCTTGGTGACCAAGGACACTGATGCTTTCAGGCCACCTGGCAGTTCTTCTCCTGAGGGTAGAGGAAGTTTCTCTCTGCAGTATTCTGTTTGCCTCTCCCGCTTCTGCCAAACAAGCCTGATCAGCTCGATCCTGGTTTTCTATCTTCAGCCTCATGCCTATAGTCCGTGGGTTTGCTGGAATTTTCAAGTACAAAACCTCCTGCATCCCAGTCCCCTTATTTCCTTAAAGATGATAATAGCCTCAGCATTGAGGTTTTTATAAATGAATGAGATAACTTTATAAATCACTTTGTATGAGGTAAAAACTTAGTAAATATTAGCTGCTAGTATGTTAAACCCTGAGCTTGAGTTCATTTATCTAGGGTGTGCTGGGTGTATTCCTCTAGGCACTGGGCATCAGCACAGTGAGTATGCAGAGCTAGAAAAATGCAGGCCTGAGGGCGGCACTCCAAATACTCCATGCTCAGCACAACAGCCTGGCTGCTCACCTGTGTCTATCTGTTCTACCAACTACCCTGATCATAGATTTCATTTTTTGTACTTATAAAATGAGAAAGTGAGGATTCAGAGAGAAAATGAAGAACCCCATGACATTTGCAAAACTGGTGAGTGTTGCTCCAGAGCACTTTCCCTTCTGCTGTATACAGAAGTCCATGGTGCTACATAGCACCATGGAGCAACGGTGTAGCTCAGTGGATCAGCCAGTGGATGTCAGCACTGCCAGTAACAAGTGATCTGCTTCTCCTGCTGGTTAACTTACTCTCAGAGCCCCTGACTTCTCCCGGGAGAAGAGCACACCAGAAATACTTCCAGGAGATCTTGTCCTCCCCTAACTTTGAGACGAGTAGTTTGTAATGCTCTTGGCTGGTACTAATGGTCCCTGGCTGGACTCAGGAACAAGTGAAGAGAAAGGGACAAGGTGGAGGGGAAGGATGTGGTCAAAAGGGGGAAAAATGTTGACTTGCCTATGAAAGGAATGATTATAAAGTACTTTATATTACCATGGCAACTTGCATCATTAAATTGCAAAAAAAAAAAAAAGTGTACTGTTTTCTACCTTCAATTCAAATAAAGGTTACAATAAAAAGTTTAAAGAAAACGGAAAAAATAGAAAGATGATGAACATTGATAATGGTCTGGAGATTCTTAAACTCCTTGGCAGTCTTGTTTAAGTTTCCAGCTTGCTGGCCCTTCTTACGGTCTCTTCTCCCCTGAAGATCCCTAAGAAGCAAGGCCCATTTTCATGACCTAAATACAGAAGGAATCCAAACACCATACTCTTCAAACTTTAATGTGCTACTAAATGCCTTAGGGATCTTATTGAGATGCAGATTCTGAATGGGGCCTGGCATGGGGCCTGGGATTCTGCATTTCTAACAAGATCCAAGTGAGGCTGCTGGTCCACAGCCCACACTTTGGGAAGCTGAGGGTCCCCACAGTCCCTCCAGGTCCCCTTTAGCTTAGGACCCCAGGAGTTCTGCTGTTTCAGCAGCCTACCTGCTCTGTTTTTCTTCCTAGATGATGAAAATGCCACATGCGTGGAGCCCACGGAGCTGGCAGGGTGGCCCATCACACAAGTGGGGAACCCACTCCGATACATGTGCCTCACGCACCTGGACCGCCAGGACTACATCTTCCTGCTGCTCATCGGCTTCTGCATCTTTGCCGCAGGCACGGTAGCTGCCTGGCTCACGGGGATGTGCGCGGTGCTCTACCAAAATGCCCGCCGCAAATCCAGCGAGGAGGAGGCCGAGGATGAGGCTGGGCACAGAGCAGAAGTCACCAGGCGGATCTTTCAAACCAAGGAAAAATCAGGCCAGGAAGGGTTCCCTCAGCTGATTTAGCTGCCAGAGACCACTCTCCGCTGTGACTTCCCCAGCTCCTGGCTATCTCGCCCCGCCCCACATCACCACGGCTGGACTGTCTTAGACAACAATGCCTCCTAGTAAAATAAATAAGATGTTTGGAGATCACTTCAGAGGTCGTCCTTCTCTGTAGCACAGTGTCCAGAAAAGTCGTTGGATGCATCCAAATGTCAAGGAAGCCCATCCCAAAATCAAGTCAGTGCAGTTTTAGTGGCCACCTATTATGTCCCCACACTAAATGCTAGAGGAAAGGACATAAGAAATTCCTATAAAAGCAAACCATTTGGGGGGAAAACCAGATTGTGATACATCTCCATGGGCCGTCTTCACACTCCACCTCATCATCACAATGATCCTGTCATGTCAATATGGTTCCATGGTGAGAAAATGAGGCCTGGATAGGTTAGATATCGACTTGGTAACCCAACTGGTAAATAGCACAGCTCCCTAAAGACACGATTTTCCCTTTACATGAAGCTACCCATGCCCCCAGGAAACATTTAGCAACACAACCAAGGGTTTATCATCGAAGCCTTGGACAAAATAAAGGTGTAGGGTAGAGACAGCCACCATTTACTGAACACTTACCCAGCCCGGCATGGTACCCAGTTTTGTACACATTTTCTCACTGCACCTTCACAACAGCCAAATCAGCTGTTACCTTCATGCTGCTGAGGTTTAGAGATGCGTGGTAATCAGCTAAAGGTCACACAATTGATAAGGAAGAATTAGAGCTATTACTGAATCCTAGGCTGCCTGATATCAAGGCCAGTGGTCTGTGCTTTATGAACTGTTGTCTTCCCTATTTGCCCAGCAGAACAGCCGAGTGCACACAGACACAACCCAGCCCCCAGGGCTAGTCCAAAGGAGTAGGAGAGAAGGGTGGCCCAACCTCAGCCCGAAGATCCATTCCCACCTTTCCTTTTCTCTCTACCCGGATCAAAGCACGATCCTACTGAAGGCTCAGATCAGAGTTCACAGCTCTGAAGCTAGCTGTCCCTAACATCCCAGCCAAACATGTGCCTCCGTCTGTGTCTCCACTGTGAGTTGCATGTGACTCCAATCACTCTTCCCCTAGGTTTGGTGCACTGCTTATGTCTTAGCCGCTTTCTCATAGCTGGGACACAATACCTGACAGCTGCAGCTTAAAGGAGGAGAGGCTTATTTGGGTTCATATTTTTAGTCCATAGTGTTGGCTCCAAGGTAAGAGCACATGGTAGAGAGGCGTGGTGGATGAAAGCTGCTCACGGCATGGAGGCCAGGAAACAATCAAGGGAAGAGCCAGGAAGGGAGAGAAACCCTTCCAGGTCATGCCCACAATGACTCATCTCTTTTGATCCAATCCCGCTGCCTACCAGTAAATCAGCTGTAAACGCTCATTATCCAATCACCTTTCAAAACCCTGTGATCACAAGAAGCTTTGGGGGGGGACATCTAGATGTAAACTATGAGAACACAGATCTTGAATCAGGAGCTGGGTTCCTAGCCTTAATTCTGTACTCACCACTATGTGAACTTGGGCTTGGACTTTCAACTTGCAATGATGACCTTGATGGCAAACTATCTGCCCTCAGTAGGTTTTCTCTATCTATCTCTGTATGTCTGTCTGTCTTTCTTGCCATGTCTCTCTCTCTCTCTCTCTCTCTCTGTGTCTCTCTCTCTCTCTGTGTCTCTCTCTGTGTCTGTGTCTCTGTCTGTGTCTCTGTCTCTGTCTCTGTCTCTGTCTCTCTCTCCAGAATCTTGAGGATCTTGCTGTACTGCCCAGGTTGGCTTTCAACTCCTGAGCTCAATGATCTTTCTGCCTCGGCCTCCCACATGCAGTATTACAGGTACATGCTGTCACACATGCATTGCCCTCGGTGTTCTCTGTGGGCACCAGTACAGGGTAGTGCCTCAAAGTAGGGGCTCAATAAGTTTGTTATTGCATTCTACTCAAATCCCAACACACCAAGGGTTCCTACTTTGTTATCCTGAAGTGAGGAGTAAACATGAGTAAGTTCTTTTTAACCTCTGTGAGCCCCAGTTTCTTCATCTATAGAGGTAGTCATTACAGTGTTTATATCACGCAGAGAAATTGAGACTGCAATGAATATCAATTTATAATAAGGTGCTAGTTCAATAAGCTTTTTACTATAATTTTAGACTTACAGAAAAGTTGCAAAGCCAGGCGTGGTGGCACATGCCTGTAATTCCAGCTCTCGAGAGGCTGAGGCAGGAGGATTGTTGCAAGTTCGAGACCAGCCTGGGCTACAAAGTGAGCTCAAGGCCAGCCTGAACTGCACAGAGAGACCCTGTCTCAAAAAGACAAAAAAAAAAAAAAAAGTTAGAAAGATAGCACAGGGTTCCCATATACCGCTGTCCAGCTTCCCTTAAAGTTACCTTACAATATAGTGGTGTATTTAAAAACACTAATAAACTTATATTGGACTATCACTGTGAACTAAACTCTAAACTTTATTGGGTTTCACCAAGCCAGGTGTTGTGATGCTTACCTGTAATCCCAGTACACGGGAGGCTGAGGCAGAAAGATTACTATATTCAAAGCCAGCCCGAACTGCACAGAGAGACACTGTCTCAGAAAAATCTCATACTTTATTGGGTTTCACCAGTGTTTCCCCAGTGCCTTTTTTTGGTTCAGGAGCCAAACCAAGATATCACATTGACATTCAGAATGTTTTTAGAGAAATAATATATCCAATGTTTCTGGATACTTCTATATTTCAGGCATTGTTCTCTCTCTCTCTCTCTCTCTCTCTCTCTCTCTCTCTCTCTCTGTGTGTGTGTGTGTGTGTGTGTGTGTGTATGTGTAACTGAATCATCATAACCCTAGAAAGTAGGTATCACTATTATTACCACTCGATCATTAAATGAAGGCCTAATAAGTAACATGCTAAGTATTGCACAGTTAGTAAGACCAGAAGTCAACTCAGTTCTATCTGATTGTACATTGTTTCTTTCAAGCCACAAACTTATACTATCTCTCAGGAAATTAAACTACCAAGAAAGTCTTAACAAAAGAGATCAGAATTGCAATTTTTCACAATAACTTTTCCCCACAGAAAGTACCTCTGTCTCCTCACGATAGCTCGTTCCACAAAAATGTACTAAGCACCTGCTCATCTAAACCCAAGAAGGCCATAATGGACAGGACAGTCACAGTGCTCAAGGAGCTATGGTTTACTTGGTGGAGACAAAAACCAGCCAGTCCCAGGACAACGTGGTGAATACAAACCAGGTACAGCTGTCTAAGGGAACAGAAGGAGGGCACCTTACCTGTAGCTAGTAGGGAGTCTTGGAAGGCTTCCCAGAGGAAGAGACATCCAAGCTGAGGCTTGAAGGTTGAGAAAGTGGCAAAGAAGAGGTAGGTAACAAGAAGCCTTTCTAAGCAACAAGAACTACATGTACAAAAGCCTAAAGTGGGAAAGAGCCTGGCACGTCATTAGCTACCATATGGAGAGTAAGAGGAAGAAGAAAAGAGAAACAATAGCAAGAGAGCAAGGCAAGGCCAGGCTCTGATGGCCTTAGACAGTTTGTTACTCAGGGTTATGACAGGTGATGCTGCAGTAAGAGATAAACCCCACACTTTCACTGACTTACACACAAAGCCATAGAAGTCAGGTAGGGCAGGGCAGCTTCCTCCACTCTATAGCAGTAGCACATAAAACACAGGCTTCAATGTCTCATCCTAGAAGAGAAAAGAGAGATGCTGGGTGCATCACTCTTCACTGCCTGTGCCTCGAAGTAACATGTCATTTTACTCCCTTTTCACATGACCCTAATCTTACTGCAAGGAAATGCGGTCTGTGCACCAGGAAGACAGAAGATATGGTAAACAAGGAACTGTCACTGTCCCACCACGATAAGGAATGTGAACTTTCTCCTGAAATACACTCAAGAGTTTTAATCATGAGAATGACATGATCTAATTAATTTTTGTCTTAGAAAGGTCACTCGGGTTGGAGATACAGCTTAGTGCCCCAGCAACCACACGGGAGGTCCTGGTTTCCACCCCTAGCACAGGAAGAAAGAAGGAAAGAAGGAAGGGAGGAAGGAAGGAAGGAAGGAAGGAAGGAAGGAAGGAAGGAAGGAAGGAAGGGAGGAAGAAGGGAGGGAGGGAGGAAGGAAGAAGGGAGGGAGGGAGCAAAGGAGGGAGGGAGAAAGGATGGGAGGGAGGAGGGAAGGAAGTGGGGGAAGGCAGGGGAAGGAGGGGGAGGGAGGGAAGGGGAGATGGAGGGGAGAAAAATCACTCTGGCAGTACAGTGAAGCAGAAAGCAGAGAGCAGCATGACAGGCAATGAGGAGTTCTGCCTAATGTAGTATTCTAAGGAGAGATGAGAGTAGAATACCAAGGGCACAGGATGTGGATGCAAAGAGAACCACGGGAAAAGGCAACATCAGAAGTAGAGCTGACAGAATTCCCTGAGTGACTGCTTTTGGAGGATGACAGAATCAGGAAATTCAAATGGAGACAGAATTAGGAAAAAGAGGATGGAGTTAACTATTACCAATCCAATTATTTAAACACAAGATGAGCAAAAATTACCTATTTTTTGTTAATTTTTATAATACAACAGCAAATATAAAAATGACAACTTTATCAGATGTGTTCCATAATTTTTCTGTGTACAGTATACTTTAAAACATTCCATACACAGCACAACATACCTAGTCTCTTTCCAAATTCTTTTTGCACCATTGTCTTTCTCTGAACAACACACTGTACTCTGCAGTGTTGGCCTTTCCTTTTTTCTGTAGGAGGTAGAGTTTCAATAAGACATCTCCCCACTAAACGTAAAGGTGAAGATGTCCAAGATGGATGCCCTGGTTGGCATTTTGCTATCCCGTATTTTTCAATTCTTTGGTCTATTAGACCTAATCTAATACGAATAGCTTTTTGAACCCCCTTATTTTGAATACATAACAAATGAGTTCCATATTGTTTGGTCTAGAAGGTGCATAAATATTTTAGAATAATATTTCCCTTGCTTTTTGATTACAGAATAGCTTGTTAGATGTTGGTCAACTCTTGTCAACACCACCCATAGAATTATTATAATCATTGACCACTACTGGAATATTTTTATTTTCATTTCTTCTTTCAAGTTGTAT